CAATACTGGAATTCTGGTCTGGTTTAGGGTTTCAAGAAAACCCACATTGCATGTACCTCAAGTTTCACCTTAGCAGCTGAGATAAGCCACTCCAACCAACTTGGCGGCACATCAGTGTCAGCCTTGGTAGGATAAATCTCCCCAGGTCTATCCAACGGTTGTGAAGATTCTAAACTAACACGAGTCTCATATGTATCCAGTTTAAGGGTATTACACAAAAACACACCATGATAACATGAATCAAATATGTACTTTATTCATTTACATTAAATGTCATAATGTACATCATTCTGATTGGAGTTAACAACATACACTGTCTAACAGATGCTAATGTAGAGAAGCTCCACTGTCAACAAGATTCTGTATTACGAATCGAAGAGGAAGACATTGATCAATATGAGGTCCTAACATCTTGTGATAATCACGAAATATACTTGATTTGAACCCTCGAGAAAGCGGTTTTGGAATGGTCTTGGCCGTAGCGGATCTATCTCTTTGGGGCTGTTTGACCTTGATGGTATGATACTCTTTGAGTCTAGTGTCTTAACCTTTTTTTAGAACTGGATGCCTTGGTCGTGAAGAAACCCCTATTGTTTTATTATTGCAACGTTGACTTGATTTTCCCTTTTTAAATTAAATGATTTAGTAAAGGGAGTGAGGAAATAGGTAGGAGCTATGTGGTGGGAGCCTTGCTTTAAGGAAACTAAGATGGAATGATGTAGAATGCAAAAAATTATGTAAAAACCATGCAATGCCGACAAAACATCGAAAAAACAATGAAAAACTGATTTGCACCTAGTTTGAAACTGGTTGGGGTGAAAACTTGGGCAGATCAAGAAACATGCATGAAGCTGGGTGTGGACCGGCCCACCTACGAAGAGGGTAGGCTGTTATGAGCTGGCTATCTAATTAAAGATTCCTAGGGTAATGCTGGAAAGTTGGGGAGTTAAGGAGCTGAGTGTGATGAATTGACTTACTAGACCTTGGTTGTGTTAGAATGGGAATGGACTAACTAGGGGTGGTAGGTAGGGTGATTAATGGATGGGTCAAAACCACTATTGAAAGCAAATCCATGGGAATACCATTGGTAAATTAGTCAATTTAGGAAGATGATTCAAGATCGCCCTATGGCTGGAAAAGATGCTAATGCTGCTATAGCCGATTAGGTTGAACGAATGCAAAATGCAGTGCGATGAAAACAAGGTGAACCTTTATTGTGCAAACAGAAATTAGGGTAATATTCCTAAAACACCAAAACTGAGGAAGGGAGGGGGGGGTGAATCTGGTTCAAATTAACGTAATTTAAAAAAAAAAACCAAGAATATTCTTCTTGTTTCTCATCCTATGGAATTTAAGAGGAAAAATAAACATGGTAATAACTAGCACATCGGTTTCAATCAAGAACTCAGAGAAGTTTAATCTTACAATTATAACCAAAGCATGCAAAAGAGATTTGATTCTTTATTATTGTTTTCTTATTATTTTTTTATTGTTTTCTCTTTATTTGCTTTTCTTATTAAATTATTATTATTTGAGTTTTTTATTTTTTTTTCTTTGTTTGACTTTTGTTTTCTTTTATATTTATTTTTTATTTTTGTTTGTGATTTTTAATATGATGTTATCATTTTTTCTTTTTTCATTTTTCTTGACTCTTCCTTCTTTTTGACTTATTGATCTTTTATCATATATATTTTCCTTTGACTTTTTATGGTGCTTTCTCATGGTTTTTATCCACCATTATTTTATTTTTCCTATTTGCTTTTATTTTTTATTATTATTTTTGTTTTTATTTTATTTTATTTATCTATTTTTTATTATTATTATTATTATTATTATTATTATTATTATTATTATTATTATTATTATTATTTCACTTGTTCAAAGGACGTTAGGTTTCTTAGAGAATTTCTTCTATTTTCCTACTCCCCTTCTTTTACTCTCACTTTAAATTTTGTATTCTTCTTTTTCATTATTTATTTATATATTTTTTTTCTTTTGATTTTGATTCCTTTTCTCATTCTATAAATAATTGTGAACCCTTTCTACCTTCTTTTTTTTTAATTTCAATTTTCCCATTATATATATACTTTCCATTTTTTGGTTTCTTCTTCAACTCCACTTTTTTCATATATTTTTTTTATTTTTAGATTTCCCCTTTTTTATGTTTTTTATTTTTTTGTAGTTCCTCATTTTCCTTTTTTATATTTTTTTCACTTTTTTATTTTGGATTTTCCCATTTTTATATTTTATATTTTTCCTTTTTTGTATTTTTCCGTTTTTTATTTTGACTTTCCCTTTTTTGTATTTTGCATTTTTTTTGTTTTTGTTTTGGATTTTCCCCTTTATTTTTAATCTTTTTACCATTTTTTTTATCATTTTTGCAATTTATTCTTTTTTTGTTGCTTTTCCATTCTTAATCTCAAACACTCTAAAATGGACGTGCTAATTCATTCAAAAGAGGGGGCTGACCCTAGAATCTAGGCTAGCATGCAAGATGTGTGCATGAGCTTGGGGTGTGACACCTATATCCACATTCAAAAGCCTACCGCAGCACAAGAAAATGAGGCTACATCTACTGTACTTTAACTACAGTTATAAAAACCGTAGCTAAAACATGATACATAACCACAGATAACTTCATGTCCGTGGCAAAAAGATGGACCCCAGCTACATGCAAAGATATTTATAGCCACAGTTTAAGGTATTCGTAGTAAAACGTTACGATAGCAGAAGTTAACATGTAGCTACGGTCATTTGGTTCATGGCTATAGAACTTTTTCTCTGTGGGTAAAAGCTATTTACAACTATAGCCATGGATTTCAGTTATCCGTAGCTAAAACTATGAAGTTCATCTTTAGCTACGGTCATTTGTAGCTATACATTTGTTGCTATAGCCACGGATTTTAGTTATTTGTAGTTATACATTTATTTGAAAATATTATACAATTATTATAAAATAATAAATATATTAAAAACTAATTAATTTAAAAATATTTAGTAAATAGATAAAAATTAATAAGCATATAAAAAATTACTAAAACGATTAAAATTTAATGTAATGCATGGGAAATAATAAATGATAAACATATAATATTAATTAAAAACATTCATTATTCATTATTTGCTAATAATAATAAAAAATATTAAAATAAATAAGTATGGTTAATAATTAACAAATTATTAGTTCATTGCTAATGAATAACAATAATAATTAATGATTGGTATTTAATAATACTTAAACTAGAAAATAAATTATTAATAATTTCATAAGAACATTAATAAAAGATAATAATTTTCTAAAATATAAATAAATAAATATTAACTATTACTTAATTAATTAAAACTAGTAACAAAAAATTAATTCAATTATTTATATAAATTAATAATTAATATAAAATAATAAATAAATATGACTAACCCTTCATAATTAATGAATCAATTAATAATAGTTAATTTTTAATGAAAAATAATATTTACAATTAAACTAAATTACCTAATTTCTTAAATAAAGTATTAATAAAGTAATAGTTATAGAATATAGATAAATGAATATTAATTAATAATTAAGTACTTATTAATAAATTCATACTTATTTAATTAATAATTCTATGCACTCCACGGGCCAAAGGCACCTTTACTCACCCATTTTACCAAAAAATGCTTTTTGCCTCAAGATGTAATTTTTCGTCTTTTTATTTATAACAGGTGAAAAACTAAAACAAAATATAAATTGGACCTATATATAGAAAGTTGCACCAAACTGGCCAATCAAACTATTATTAAACCATGACCGGACCCTTACCCCATTTGATCATACCCCTAACCCTATTTTCTCCAAAAAAAAAAGGCCAAAATAATCCACCTAACTGGTCCAACCTAGGAACCAATGAACATTTGTATAACCATTTGATTTTTTTTGTAATATTATTATGAATATATTATATATTATTCTGTATATAATTAATGCTTACCTATGTATATATATTATGCCATCGTTGATCAGCCTTGCTGGTTGAACCATTAACCCATGATCTTCTCCTTTTTCTAGTTTAATGCATGATCCTGATTCTTTGAACATTATATATTACTGATAAGAGGGGTTAATGACTTGTTTGACTTGGAAGGGTTAAATCGTTCATAGTACTGGAAAATTGAGAGCTACTAGCCTACTAGCAAGCAAAAATTGTGCTTAAAAGAAAGAGGGGTATTTAGTGCCATATACCATGCTTGAAATAAGGGTGATCATTTAGCCATTTGGAAAATTTCTTGCTTAGACCTAGGTTTTGTGTTCAGGCCTCAGTTAGGGCTCCAACCCTCATTAAAGCCACAAATTTTATACCTAGGTCTAAGCCTAGTACTTTAAGCTTGCCTTGGACCCGATCCAACCTGCATATATTTCAATATGTATATTATAGATAATGTACACACACATCATTGATTCGGCCGGATGAACTATTTGAAATGTTACCCGGTCATAATTCTGGGTATAGTTTTAGTAAAACCTAGAATTTTGTCAAAAACCTTGACCAAGATAAAAAACTGTCCAACCCAAATGGTTGGACCATTGACTCATTCGACTCGGTGACCGAGCTACAGGTTGACATTAAACATGTATGCAAACTTCTAGAGGCCATAACTTTGTGCTCTAATGTCTGATTGAGGTGATTTTTTTTACAAATAAAAAATATAATTATATATTATTTATTAATAAAATTTGTGTTTACACACATATATATATATATATATATATATATATATATATAATTAAATATGTAAAATGTGACATGGAACAGTTTAACCCATTAGACAAGGATGGTTGAACCGACCCATAATCCAGAGGCAAAAATAGTTCGGCCTCCAGGTGAGTTTTTAAAACATTGGTTTCAAGCCTAGAACTTGGCCTGGCCTTAAGCCATGGCCCTTATCATAGGTGCAAAACTCGGCCGGGCCCGGTCCATTATCACCCCTAGGCTTATCCCTTTCCATCAAATTTCCTCTTCGCGCGCAGTCCCTCTATGTTTTGCCTCTTTCACTCTATTGTGGAAAACTTACAATGAACCCCACTTTCACTATCTACTCTCTCAACAAATCCCATTTCTTTCTCTTTCTCACAATCTCTCTATCCCACGGTCTCCCTCTATCTTTCTATCTCAACAAACCCTTGTGTAATAACTTTTTACCTTGTACCTGTGGAGAAGAAAATAGCTGTGAACAATTTCACAGTTTCTCTTTCTTGCGAAACAAGTTGCGGTAAGATTATAACAGCAAATCACTTCTTATTTCCTTTATTCCCTCAAACATGACCAATTATTTAGGGTTTTTTTTTCTGGTTTCATATGCCAATCGATATCCAAATTAGATCAATGTTTCATCATACTATTTAAGCCTTGTTTTTTCACAAAACCAAAAATTACTTCTGTCATTTGGTCAAAATGATTGTATTAGTAAGCCACTTTTGGACCGTAAGATTTTTTTTTCCTGATTGTAAATAACTGTTTTAGTTTTATTTGACTGAAGAGCACATTGGTTCTAAAAATCAATATATTTCGAAATCCATTTTTTGATGAGTCATCTTCCCTATGTAATCCAAATAAATATATCTTTATTTTTAGGTATTGGGGCAGTTTGGAACACAACAAAGGTAGAACCAGGTTCCATTATTGTTGTTTTTGACTTGGGGACCGTTGGCCTTGCAGTAAGTTATCTGGAAACACCTCCTGACTACTATCATGATTCTGCACCGATTGCTGAGGAGACTCTAAGAGGTAGTACTTATAGTTTGTCATTCCATCATTCTTTCCTTTGATTTAGAAAAGTTTTTCAATCTTTGTTGAGTCATTAGGATTTCAAATCATTTTGCTTCCCGAAATGCAAAGGGTAGATACTATATAATAAATCTCATGCTTAAGAAAGGTGTATATAAGGTCGACAAATTGTATGGATGGTGCTTTAGAAAAAAGGGGCTGGGCAGGGATCAGTGTCTTTTGGGCTCAATTGTAAGTTAAGTGTAAGGGCAGAGAGGTAGCAAAGACTGTCCTTCTAAAAGGTGTATGTAAACTTTGTATATATTTTTTACTGCTTTTATTAATAAATCTAATGGTTACTTATTAAAAAAGAGCTGTGTATAAAAAATACCAATAAATTTGTAGTTCTTAAGCAACCAATGCTAAAACTAAGGAAGCAAAGAGTTTAGGCAATGTGGGGAATTAATATAAATTTTGAAAATAAAAGAGAGAATAGATAGATGTGTCCCAAGATAGATTGTAAGGTTGAAGCTGATATGGATAAACCATTGGTGCTGCCAATCTTAAGGAATCCCAACTATATGGATGTTTTAACAACTACTGAAGGAACATGGCAGTAAGAGAGATCAAAGCTCTTTATCACTTTAAAAACATGCCTTTGTTATTAATTGGGGAACTTGAATATTATAAGGTTGGTGTAGAACCTTGACTTTGGGTTCGGTGTCAAAAGATGGAAGACCCAGAGGGCCCCCTTGTTTGGTGGTCAGCTTGAAATTTCCATGTGGCAGAAACAAGGGGAAGAAGTTTACACGAGTCAACATTCTTCCATGTGGCAACAAAAAGAAATTCATACTCTTGAATGGCTTTTTGGGGAAAAACAAAACACTGATATAAGTAGGGTAATGACTGTCAAAATGCAGGGAGAAACAGAAGACCAAAGTCAGTGGCACATTATATGATGGACAGTCCAGATGACATTATATATGATTCCTCCAAGGCCTCGTTCGCTTCTCGATAAGTTATTTATTTGGGTAAGTGTATTTACCCGTGTTCTTTCATTTGTCATGTAAATAAGGCAATGACCATTTTAGTCATAAAAATTCATTATTAAAAAGGGCATTTTTGTCCCATTCAAGTGTTGACAACTTTCCCCCTAGGTGGGAAAGTTATTTACCCACCTAGGAGATGAGTATCACTTACCCAGGTAAGTGGTACCCAGAAAAATAAATTTTCCTTGGTCCCCACATAAATCTGAAAAAAGAACATGGGATTAATTCTTGGTCAATGGGAACCAAAATCCTATTGACCAACTTTCCCCCTTTCAAAATCCAAAAAAAAAAAAACGCCCCCAAATGGCAGCATTGGGTGAGATTGTCTAAGCAACATCCCTATTTAACCATGTAGGGGTCCTTTTCCCATGTCCTGTATGGTAGATGGTCTAGATTGATTACATGAGAATTCAGTCCCTTCAATGACAGAGGAAGAGATTGACATCCTTCCTGTTCACAAGGCCACTGGACCACAAAGGAAAGTTTAAATCTCCATTTTGTTATTTGGTCTACTTACTCTTAGATAAAACTTTTGAATAATATTGTGATTTCTCAGAATGATTTGACATAATTTTGATTTTGTTAACACTAATGGTTCATTGACAAAACAAGCATCATGTTCAATTGTAGCTAAGGTATTCATCTACTTCTCTATTTCTGATAGAGTAGTGGCAAGTAAGTATATGTTGTGGATGGGATACTTATGCGTTTACCTCATACTTTTTTCACTTTATAATATGCAAGACGACCTTTAATTTCTCCTCTATTGAACTAGAATTTTTATTTTTGCTTGCTTTTGCATCTTCCATTTGTAAGAGGGTTAATTTGTTTGTATATCATTTTTCTTATGCTATAATAACATTTCAGTTGAATATCTCTTGTTCCATTGAAGGGTGTACCACTCTTTACAAGCAAAACAACTATTCAGTTAAAAACAAAAGTATCGTCTTTTATAAGAGAAGTAGAGAACTATTTTAAGGCAATGACTAGTTCCATAAAAAACTGTTTAATTTTGTATTTTATCTGTAGCTGGAAAACATTTTTATTTTATGCACTATTGTTTGAAGATATATTTCTTTAGGTGCATTTGATACTAATTTTATCAGGAGCATTGGACAGATAATTAGTCAAAAAAAGGGAATACATGATTTATTAATGGAATTGGTCTGACTCATCTGAATTGAATTGTTGCTATGAAATGCTTGAAGGGTCAACTCTTGAATGTGGTGTACCCGACAAGATTGAAGAAATACACAGAATTTATGTATTGATGTATTTCACACACTATTCGTGTTCATTCATTGGATGTGACTTAGATGTGTGTATTGAACTCATTTATTGGATTGGCGGAAACTGGTTTTAACCAATTTTTATGGATTTATATTACCCCAGGGTATTTGCACCAATTCAAGTGCATATTAATCTCAATAGTTATTATTGGGGGAATTATTTATAGAGATAGTGTACAACATGGCCTTAGACCATAGTTTCCCAAAACATGATGGATATTTCAGAACTACAGGCAATTAGACAAGAATTATTTTTTTGCCACTCTCAAAAAAAGTTTAAATTGGAGGAAGTCTTTATATAGCCATGAAACCCAACTCCCTAGCCCTGGATTTATGGAAAATGGGAGCAAGTACCATTAGGAATAGTACCAAAGGAATAGGGTGTGGACTATTAATGGGAGATGCCTTCTTGCAGACCCTAGAATGTCAAAGATCATCTTCAAGATTGGCAATAAGAACTGATTATCATGTGTAGTCTTTAGCCCAAGTTAATCTCTTAATTCCGGGAAAAGATAAGAATGAAGTTGTAGCTAAAGGTCTATTTATCATTGATGACCCGAAAAAAGTTGTGGAAAGAAAAACATGATTATGGATGGTGCAAGGTAGTGATAAAGAAAGTTTTAAAGAAGGATTGCTGGTTGATGAAAAGGCATGCAAACTTGAAGAGCTTGGAAGATGCACAAGGCTGTAGCATTCCTTGGATTACCTCCTTTTCATATACATATGTTTATTTACATACTTCTAGCTAAGATCATAATAGTGTTTTATTATTGATTTGATTCTTTTGATAATTTTTACATATTGTTTGAAGATATATAGAGAACTATATATATTATGGTTTCAAAATGTTTGCAAAAATGTTTTAATTATCGAGATCCATGTGAGTTGAGAGTGCAACGTTGTTCCTTGCAGTCGAGGGAGAGGTCCTCTCTTGTCGGGCAGTGTTTGATCATTATGGGCTGAGAGGTTAAGTGTAAGACCATTGAGGTTAATACTTGATGGACTAATCTTGCATCTGCCCATAGTCCTTGGGTTTTTATAAGGTGGCTTGGCCCAAGGACCACTTAGTGTAAGTGTTGGGCCCATTAAGAGCCCATGGTGATGGGCTCAGGGGTTCACTGCTCATAACAATGAATTCAACCAGACCTTGTAACAGAGGCTAGGCTGAATGCATGTGGCTGATTTGTAGATCAATGTTTGGGTCCCACGCCATACAAAGAAGCCCAACTGGGCAAAAGTTTGGAAAGTTAATGAGCACATAGACTTATTGGGCCTAAAGCCCATTTTGGACTGGTCTAATTTGATTAGTTAAAGAAGGGGCGGATCTGGGATTTGGATCAACAGATAGGATAGGGAGTTATCCCTATCCACTTAGAGAGTCTAGATCGAAATAGAGATTTGGATCTGGAACGTTCCTAGTAAGATTAGGAGGGCTGATCTAATATGCAGATAAGATAAGGGCTTATCCTTATCTCTTAAAGAGAACTCCTGATCCAAATATAGATTTGGATTGGGAAACTCATAATGAGATTATGAGCTCTCTTTAAGGCTATAAAAGGAGGAGGGGGCGAACCATTCTACACATCTCAAAATCCCCAAACATCAGATCTTAGATCACACAAAGAGAAGACAACAACAGTGTGACTGTGCCATCTTCTCCCTGCGTTCTCCTCCAATTGCTGCCAATTGCCGGTTCAATCTCCATTCTTGTAAGAGCGATCAAGAAAGGTTTTTGATATCAGTCTTTGGAGAAAGGTTGATCTGAAGTCGTGCTCACAGCCTCCATCGAATTATTGCTGAAGGATTCGGTTCTTGGGAAGAACACTGCTGATTCTGCTCCACCCTACACTGTGTCATCTTCAGTGGGAGTAGTCTTTGGAGATTTCTTTGGGCGTGAACACCATCATTGGGAGTTACTGCTACTCTGTATCAGGTATATCCCTCTCCTCCCTTTTGGTTTTAGATTTGGATTGGTTCTTGGTTCAAGATTGATCCTTGAAAATGCAGATTTTCTAAAACAGGGAATATGATTCCCAGATAGAGAGAGAGAAATTTTTTGAAAATTTGCCCAACCTACCTGATGTAGTGCGATTTGGTCACTCCTACCTGGCAAGGGGCCTCGCTCATAGCTGGCAACGGACAACACCTGAGAAGGAGAAGATGAAGGATTCCCGAGGAGCTCGCCCGGCGGGAACACTCCGATGCTTAAGTTAGAACTCAGTGAAAAGTTGAGAGAGTAATGACGACCTAAGAGTGGTGATGCGCACTACTCAATTACCAAAAAATCAATTACCTTCTTCCTTGGGGGTCAGTGCCCTTATATATTAATGCACTGCCAAATCAGGTGTAACCGCCTTTGATTCTCTAATACAGCCGTTATTCGTTAGGCTGATTTGATTGGTGTAGGTATCCGTCACAGGGTACGGTCTTGTCACTTGAGAGACGTTATGCAAAGCTGGCATGCACGACACCGCCTGACGTGAGACGTGGGCGCAGTCCTCTGGACTTGCAGGTGCTGCGCCACCGGACAAGAGATGTGGGAGCAGTCTGACAAGCACGGTCCTATCGGATAAGAAGTTTCTCGAAGACTTCGGGTCACTCAATGGCGAGCTCCTTTGTAGCGAGCTCCCTTGTAGCGAACTCCTTCGTAGCGAGCTCCAAAGCGAGATGCCTTGCAGCAAGCTGTTCTACTGGGGTTTCAGCGAGTTCATTATGCCAAGTTGTGGCCAAGTTGTCATGCTGAGCTGTCACTTACGCTGAGTCATGTCCACGTGTCACCTGGTTAGGAGGTCGGGTCAAATCATCCTATATCAATTGCCCCCCACTCCTCGGGCTAAGGGTCTTACCCTAGCGTGGGGAGTTCATGAAGTGACGGGTGGATTTGACCCGTAATTAAACTAGGTTGACCATTCGCATGATGTATACGCGCGGGTGTCAGACAATTTCTGGATTTTTTGGGCGCCAAAAAACGCACCAAACTGCATTCAATTTGGGAAGACGTGCAATCGTCTTTACTTCAGTTTCAAAGGGTGTGCAGCTAGCGTTATTGTAGGCCGTCGGATCTGCTTTGATCGAGACCGTTGGTTTTTCTGGCACAACGGCTATAAATAGGAGGGCCCCAGGTCTCATTTTCTTTATGCCAACTTGCCTTGCTTTCAGTTTGAGGTCGCGCCTTTGCCTTATTTGCTCGAGCTCCCTCTATTTTCGTCACTTTCTCGGTTCACTTTTCTGGTGAGTCCTCTATTCTGTCCAAACAATGTCTGGGTATCTGCACTATGGTGGCTTTTCCTGAGATGGTAATCAGGGTGAGGTCCCCTCGAGCTCGGGGGGAGCTTGGGGGTTCCCTGAAGGGCAGGCTCTGGAATTTCGTGAGGCCTTTGGTAACGTGGCTTCCACTTCCCGGGGTTGGGAGCCTGATAGTTTTGGCCCTTCCTCCATGTCAATGGAGAGGCTTCGGGCCCTAGTCTCTTACTATAACCTCCCCAGGGATCTCATCTACAGCCTCCCATCCTGTAACTATCCCTAGGGACATGGCCACGATGAAATCGTGGTCTTTGAGGAGCAGCTCGTGGCTGGTCTCCGACTCCCTCTACATCCTTTGATAGTGGAGTTCTTACCCATTTCAATGTCACCATAGACCAAATCCATCCGAACTCAATCCGGAATGTGGTTTGGACAATTTCTTTGTTTTTC